GCACATGCCAAATCTCTACCTCAGAGTGGACAAGTGGCTGAAAAGGACGTCAAGAAATTCCATTTTACCGTCTGCCTTTTTTAAAAGTGGCGCCTATCAGCTGAGTATTTTAAGACCTTTAAAAGTATGCTTTTAACGGTTGGCTTGAGACAACAAGCGCGAAACTTCCCTTTAACTATTTTGTCCCGGAAACAATCTGTGACAAAAGTGTCGGGAAAGTTCTACTAAAATAGGTACAAATACGATCTCTTTTTCTCTGTAGTCCCTTTCCCCGCCCCGCCGGGGATTTTAATTTCAACCTTTGTGATCACTACCTTCGCTGTCACCTCTGATTACTGGAGGGGAAGGACTTTAAGGGGCACCTCGGAAATTCATAAATGATCAGGGTGGTCTGTTGTTAACATAGAAAGAAACATGAAACATGGACCTTTCGTGTGTGTTTTTTCGAAAGTGTTTTATGGATTCATAGCGAGGATGAATGATGCACCATACTTCCCGCATTTGCCGAGGCTATATTGAAATTTCTTCGCCTTTTTCGGGGGAGAAGAGGAATGAAGTGTGACAGAGGAGGGGTAGATTTTACGGGAGTATTTGTCTCTATCCTTTTTAAAATTCCGTTCCGTTTAAGCTAAGTGACAAGCTCCTTAATTCACAACCTTTATAGTAATTGAAAATAGATATCGGGGAGAGGTTTTGTCAGCTTATTTCTGCAATCCGGGGTATGAACAAAGTTAAGGAACGTAAAATCCCCTGCCCCACTCCCCTCGAGGGTAGAAAAGGTCACGTTGTTCAAATGAAAGCGAAGTTGTCATTCCAGACATCTCCTACCTAGCTCCTCTCGTTTGTGGAAATATTCGTCCATAGGTTCATTGGAGTTATAAAGATCAACGTTATACGGTTCGTACGGTTTAGCCAGAACCAGAGCTAATTGGAGAGCGACAATTGTCAGAAAAATCTTACCAATGAAAGCCATGTTTGCTGAAATGCAAAGATTGGAAATCAGTGACAAAGCTTTGATGCTGAAGCATGCTGTAGCAAGCCCTTAGTTGAAAGGTGACAACGCCTTAATAACTGAAGCACACAACAAGAGCAGCTACTCCTGAACGGAGATCAAGAAATATATGAAATCAAAGGTACGACCAGTTGTATGTACACGCACACCATTTACCGCTTCTTGCGATCTCTTCATGACTGCGGTTGAGAACTGTATTTTTCAACAAAAATTGAACTCACCTTTTTTGAGAAGTTACCACTCGAAATTCCAGCGCCGAAATAACTTTGCATGGACTGGGAAGGATAAATAAATTTCTTTGAATAAGTGACATCACAAGAAACCATTTGCATCACGCCCTTTCTTTGATCTTGCTCATGATATCCGTTTCATTTAATTTTATTCAACACGTACCATTTTTAGCATTAAAAAACACAACGGAACGATTGTCATAGTCTTAGATGAAAACGATGATAAAGTAATGTTTTTTTCTCAAGTGTTAGAAATTGTTCTTAATCTCTCTTGTCATTATCATTTAGTGACAAACTCATCGGCATATAACGAATGGGTTATAGCAATTCACTCTGCCAATCAGTTACCCTTCATCGCAGTAAGAGTTAAAAAGCGGTAGACTGAACGGCGTCGAGATAGAAGAGCCCTCAGAGGGAATTAAATTTTGAATAAACCGTTCAAGCTTAAATTATTTTAAAAATAACCAGAAGCCTTAAAGAATAATACATGGGTGGGCGTAGATATGGAATTTCTTTTCGAGTGTTGAACTTGATATCTCACAAGTGAGGGCAGTGAATGTGTCAGATATCGAGTTGAACACTCGCACGCTCATGTATTACTTTTGATTATCAAATAAACACAAGAGGCTTTAATAGTCTAGAAGAGTCGACTTTATTCATTAATGAACCTGAAAAAAGTGGCGCGAAAGGCGAGTGACGTGTCAGCAGCTGATTGCAATTCTGCACGTGTGCACTTGCAACTTTTCTCAGGTCTGGAAATCCTTGTAAAACACCGCAGTTGAGATAATAAATGGAACCAAGATGGAAATGTTAAGAACTTTAACTGAACGAGAACTGATGGTGGAACACGGAGGGTGTGTGTGTGCAGCAACCCACACGTTTTTGTATAAAATTGAAGTGTATACGATGTCAATATCAATAAATAAATTTAATGTCAACCCTAAGCGAAAGCCAATCAACCGGAACAAAAAGAGAGCAAACATTGCCATTGCAGTTTTTCAGTTTGGATCTTCAAGGCCCTGATATTGCTGAAATTTGGAAAAGCAGTGTTTGAAATTGTTCCTCCGCTGCGCTTAAATACTTCAGTATTGCTCTGCACGTTCTGCAATGCGCATAAAACGACGTAATCAGGCGAATAAGCGCACAATCCAAGATCAATGGACCAAGTAAAGAGGTACGAAAATTCTTAGCTCTTGAACGAGCACGGTGATCTATATTTTTTTATTGAATAATTTCGGTGTACAAATTATCCCCTTTAAATTGGAGAAATTGAAAAAAAATTAAGCATGGGGAAAAAAAGCTAAAAACGTGCACGAAATTCGTTATTCGAGGAGGTAAATTTTAGCCTTAAAAACAACGGCTCTGAGAACTTTTTGAGTCGATGTCGTTTAAAATTGCATGACTTTCCCACAAATAATACATCAAATTGTTCTTACGTTCGAGGTTTTCTAACTATCAAGATTTTTAGTGTTACTCAAAAACCCTTGCTTCCAGCTGCTGCAAAATGTGCCGTGATATGCCGTGCGTGAAAAGTGCTAGTACAGGCGTAAATAGAGCAAGCGAAACAGATATTGGTAGAGAATATTTAAGGAAAGTAAAAACAAAAATGGTTCGATAAAGTCTTTTTCTTAGTAATCACCTTAACCTTCTATGGCAAATAGAAATATAATGGTTACTAGCTCTCAATTCAAGCGTATTTTGGCTTTGTTCGTCTATTGATTTAGCATGTTTTTACTGAAGTGGGTGGCTTTTGACCTATTGTTTTCAAGCTTGATAATTTATTTATTATTATCCAGTATTATTAACAATATGAGGACTTTCACAGTTAGTAACCAGTGAACAACTATCGGTTTAGAACCCTACACAAAGAAGGGGAAAAGAACACGTATGAAAATGAATCTTTCTTTCTAGTTCGGTCCATTTGTCATAGCCGGGGGGCTGATATTTCCGCCCTTCAATCATGTGCACATGATGTAACAACAACTACTTTATCAGCAAAAATAGATCGCGTGACATTTGAAACATTTCCCTATTAACACACGTTTTGTAACGTTAAGCAAGTCTTTAACTCCTTAACTTAGGGTGACTAACATCTATTTCTCCTTACAAGATCAGCCTTGAATCACACATTAAGGTCATGAGATTGAAGAAAATGACCACCAGCCAAATAAGCTCTTGATTGTTAAACAAATTCTCCTTGTCAGCACCTTAATAATGTTTAGAGAACAATAAGGAGAATATTCAAAATGATGTTGGGATGCAAAGGATTAAAGATGCTCTAAGAGTTAGAGTCAGAAAATGTGTTCATTGAGATCTTGAGCAAAGAAAGTCGATGAGGTAGGGGCCTACAGGGAGTCTTATACCAATGCCACCGTAGTAATAACGATAGCGTGCCCACAGGTTAGAGAGCTGGGGCAGTGAGAAAGGGCAAATAACTCAACTCTTTTTTTCTTAAGTCACTTGAGGTCTCTATAGCATGAAGAGATATATTTTATAATCGTCAGTGTTTGATAAATTGAGACGTATTAAACTGTTAGAGAATTCGTGTTTATGATTTAAAATTCCTCACTTTAATGCTGAAAAGTGATGATTAGCATGGGATCATTACGGATTTACTACAGTAAAACTGACGCGCAATTTTCATCGTTGACTTCAATGAGTTACCTTCTTAATCGATGGCTACGAAAGCTGAAATTAGTCCATTGCAATTTAAAAGTAAAATCAAGAACAATAGGGGTCAGACGCGCCTAAAAAATGCCATTTTGTCTACGTTTTAACAGTCCCAAAAGGAAAATAATCTGGAATGTGTTTAGGCTATCTTAACTCAAAGTGCATACATTGATTTCGGGGGTAAATATGGATTAAATTTGACTTCCGAGTTTATTCTTAGTTTTATTTGAATGGTTCCACTCAAGGTGACCGTTCAACATAGGTGGAAAACAGACCGTTCGGACTCAGTCAAGGGTTACAACGGATGCTTAATAGAGCCGGTGAATGCTTAAGTACTTAAACCCCTAAGAGTGACTGGCATCTAATTTCTTCGTACAATATCACCACTGAATCACACATTAATGTCATGAGAATAAAGAAATGATCACCAACTAAAGAAACTCTTCGTTGTTAGACACATTCTCTTTATCAGCACCTTGGGAAATTTATGGAAAGCAGTATGGAGAATATGAATACTGATGTTCGGGTGAAAAGGGTTAAGGGGAAGATGTCGGGACTACCGCTTAATATGGTGCCACTTAATATAGGTTCGACTGTGTTTGTGTCCTTGCAACAAAGTCATCAATTTATTTCACGTCATGGTTTTTTTTCCTCTGTCTAAGATAACATATGACTATCTTTTCTTGTTTCGTTGTTCTCTTCAAGCCCATCTTCTCTGCAGCTGATCTCGGCTCAGGATCAAGTATTTTAGAATGGATTTGTTCCGTGCTGGGGGCACAATGGAGCAGATGTACTTTACTGCTTCAGGCGGACGAACGACAACCTGGTATCCTCGCTTAAGGATAAAAGTTTAACACCAAGACCATAGCGAGCTATTTTCTCATGATGGTTGGAATGAGGGGAAAGGGTTTTATTTTAGGTTTGGAAAAGGTTAAAATCGTAGACGAAATGGCAGCGACACGCTCTTATCTATTTCACGTGTCCAACTTTGTTCATCAACACTTTCTTCTAATTAAAAGAAAGCTTAAAGGTAACCGAATGTCAGAAAATCAGAAAAAAAAAATCTTGACAGCAAAAAAACTCTCATGTGGGTTTGATTAGCATGGTAGCTTTTATTTTTCAGTTTGTCGTCATGTACGCGTATATAATCCAAATAAAATGCCTAAAGTTATTAAGTCGACAGAACTGAAGTACTGCACATGTAGGTCACACTGCTTATGGTTTGCTGTAGAAAGAAAAAGAAACCCATGTGTTAATACTTTTTAGTCTTACTGGTCACATTTAGGGCTGTTTAGCAAAATAGAATCATTAGTTTTTGTGGCTATTTCCTCCTATTGGAGGCGAGGCCACATATATTACTGAGATGAGTGACGGTAACCACGATATAATTTTTTTACTTTTTTATTCTTTTTCTTAGACAAGAATTGAACGTGTTGTCAAGTGACAATCAAATACCTGTTCCAAAAAAAATGATAAAGTTAAATCGAATGTTTTAGTGCTACAGTCTGCTATTAAAAGCAATTGTTGCTTGAAATAATCGTGGCTCAGCCAAAAGAGTTGATAAGATTCACCTGCTTTGTAATTCCTAAGAACTGATATTGCCTAAAGCGCAGTGAATACAGTGCATACGAATGAACAAACCGTGTCTGTTTTGAGTGTCGCATCTAATTAATAGAGAGGTTGGCTTGTGTTTTCAAGGTCGATTAAAGAGCCGAAGAGTGAAAAAAATTTCAGAATATCATTGCAATTCCGGATAACTTTCGACCCTTTACTCAAAAAAGAATTACTGTTATTTGAAATGCACAACTTACCAAGTACCTAAGCCCATGCACTCGCAGCATTTTTGGCTTTCAGTACATCCATGCACTGGCCCTTCGAATGCTCGCTCCCCTCCATTACACGTCACTCGGCAGTAGCCCACTATATATCTGCCAGGATAACATGCTTGGGCTTTGGTTGAAGAAGAAAAGAACAGGAAAATCAACGTGTTTCAATTGACTTTAGAAAGAGAGGAGATTGATATATAACGTTACTTTTTTCCAGTTAGAAGTTTTTCAGTCGACTGCCTTACCTTTGGCGCTTTTACCATTGTCATTACTGCTGATAAGATAGCTCTAAGAGTTTGCGGAATTCAATAAAGTTTTTGGAATTTCTTAGAAAAATAATTGTGAATATCTAAATAATTATAGTACCACAATGAACAAAAACAATTTTCTAAATGTCCCACAATCAATGTATCAACTAGCGAAAGCGACCTTTTCCTCGCCCGATTAGAGTGAAATACAAATGTTTTTCATGATTGAAACGTTCTTGAAAGCAGTAAATTTTTAACCAGTTTGTGGAACAAAAATGTTGAGTGAGTTAAATTTATATGGTCTAAATTAATACTGCGTGACATAGAAATGAACTATAAATTTTTTATCTGGCGTTTTCCGGTTACAGCGTTGAAAAACTTGAAAAATCTGTTGTATGTGAGAGATTGTTAAATAATCAATATTCTGTGTGGCTGAGAAGAACAATTGTCTTAGTGTAATTATCAGGAGCTAGCAGTTGTTTACCGGCGCAACTGAAATTTTATTGTTATAGAATAGTTTCTTCTTCAAAATATCAAGAAATCGCGGGGCAGGCTTCGATGTTGGGGCCTAAGTATTACTTGATGACAAAAGAAAACTAGTGTGACTCAGTAATAAAACTGATAAATCAACATTAAAACAAATCTTGTCACTTTTTGCGATTAAATTGATGTATTAAAGATATGTCACAAATGCTTCGGAAAAATAGCAAGATATTGTTAGAAATACCTTCTCGTCTGTGGAAATACTCATCCCGCATCTCTCTATAAGAGGGAAAAAGTTCATCGTAAAGGGAATCGTAAGGCTTTGCCAAAACCAGTGCCACTTGAAGAAGGACAAGGGCCAGAAGAATCTTACCACTGGAAGCCATGTTAACTGAAATGAAAAGACTTGACTTTAATACACAGACCAACGCAAAATATGCAAGTGAAGACGATACATGCGTAATTGTGTAGCATCTTATTTTATCAGGATGTAAAGCTACGCAACAATCTCTTTTTTTCGATCGCAGAGTGAATTGGTGGGCGCCATTTGAGGATTTTTCTCACCGGCCCACCCACCCACCCGCAGCATATACCAGTTTCCTTCACATGGAGCGAATAAGAGTATTGCTACTTCCCCCTGGATGGAATACCACTTCATTGCAAGGTTACCCCAAGCATTTCATCATGCTTCCCTGATAATTCGCCGGTACCCATTTATACTTCTGGATGGAGAGAGGGACTTCGAGAGGAAAGTGATTTTCCCAAGAACACAAGACTGGAGTCCAGGGAACTAACCATAAGGGTACTGCGTCTCCCTGTTGAACCTGGGAGGAGAGTGGATAACTATTTTTTGATTGATTTATGTATATATATGAAAAACTATACGGCTGTGGAATGATTCAAGTAAACTGAATATTTTAGTGTGCTGCTCGAACAGCACCTCATTGTATAAGTGAACATCGCCCAAGCGAAATAGAAATAATCCATAGAACAGCACACAAAATTGAGTTACACGCGGTGATTGGTATGACTTTTTGGAACACTTACCGCTCCATTTCCTACTTCTTAAATTCTTCGACAGAGGGGTAAAAATAGTTTATCTCAACGAAATTGGTCTTACCTTTCAGAGTTGAGATGCCAGCTCTAAAATCAGAGAACACGAATGACTCATTTAGCCGTGAGAATGACGCCTAAAAGACCATTTCACACAACGGTGACACAATTAACTATTTGATTTTATTCCACCCTTCTTTTGATCGTTACCATTTTTAGTTTCCTTATCATGTTAACCTTTCATTGAGGCAGCGATAAGAAATCCCTACTGCACGCAAAAACGTAGACGAGAATTTCAAAGAAATTTCTTCCCTTCTGTTTTTAGTGCCTGTTCTTGATAGAAAGGAGAAAATACTGTTTACATCATAAGCTAAACTTTTCACTTAAGGATTTAAATTTTTTTTAATGATCCATTTCTCATCGAAATGCTTCAGCAACTTTTCGGACGTGATTTTTTCCTCCCGTCTGTGCGTCTCACGCCGCCCTTGATCACGCTCGAGAAAGTAGCTCAATACCAATAAACGCTGCCAGCATTCAGAACAATTAAGTGTTAATTCGAGGAATGTCAGAACATCAGATAAAAACTAAACTAAACAAAGCGGCATTCTACACTATCCTTAAATGTTTTCACTCTGCGTTTTTGTTCAACTTTTTCTGATACTGATCTCGACACAAGAATAAAGTATAGAGTTGATTCAAGCTGGGCGCTCACTAGTACTCATAGAGCTTTGACTTAAAAAACAACTTGATATGCTTCAGTAACAAATATAACCAAGATATGATCTACTTCTTTAATGAGATGATATCACTTAAGGGAAAACAGTTCAATAGTTTGAAGACAGTAAGACACTAGATAGTAATTACACCTGGAGGGATATTTACTCAATGGGTAACGCTGGAAATTTAGAGCTTTTGAGCAATCTTACCTCCCATGAAGTTTTGACTGGAATGATAGGTATAAAAAAATAATTTTCTCACAGGAATCGAATTTATGACGTTATATATTCCGAAAATGTTAACTTCGAACAAACGTGACTTGTTAAGGCCAAGGCCAAGGCCCTTGACAAGGCCAAGGCGCCGGTAATGATATGGTAAGTTGCCTCCTTTAATAAGGGTTACTGACTGGACCGGACTAGAGACCCCTGCAGGGGGCTAGTCGAATATTCTTGCTGGAAGAGTCTTGGGAGTTTTTCAACTTATTTAAAAGATCTATCTTTAATCGCCACTTTTTCTGACGATCAAACTATTCGGTCGAGACGATTCTCGCTTTAACGGGGTTAGGAAACGAAAAGTGTTAAAATGACTTCGATTGAAGGTTGTATCCTGAGAAAATAAATCAAACGCTCGAGCCTCACCACTAATTGAATCAGATAATTATTTTCAACCGAGGTGGAACTAAACCCAAAGGAAACTACTTTCATCATTTTATACTTGCAGCATGCTGCATCCCAGCTGGCACTTTGCAATGCGCAGTTCACCCTTCTTGTGATGGAAACATTGATCCCAGCCACGATTTTGATAACTTGGTTGCATCCTCAAGATTTCTCGGTTGTCATCATTGCGTGAGAAAATCCATGGTAATATTTCGGCGTTGCTCTTTTGTTTCAATTTAATAGCGCAATTACAATGATGGTTATCTCCCTTTGCGGATTTTTGGTTCAGTGAAAATCCGATGAAATGACTAAAATCTGTGTTTGACTGGCAAACGTTAAAACTGTTTTGCCATAGGGGATCGTAAGATCCACATGTGCAACGGCGAACGATGAGGATTGGAATTTCCGCTATGGAGCAAAATACTGGGAAAAGTTTCTTAGAGAAGACAGTGAGAAGATGTATCAATTAGTATCGCATTTTATTTGCGTAGTGTGGGTTTGCAATTCTTTAGCGGTGCTTTTGAAAGGTGCGTAAACAAAACGAACAAAACAAAGGCGGAATGAAAATTGAATGATTAACTATTTGTAAATGGTCTGTGACTATATGATTTGAAAGGATTTTCCTCGAGCCACGAAACCTATCTCGGTCCTCTTCTTTCTTGTGGAGCCATCTTGACTCCGTAATGTAAGCTTAATCTTCGAAGGGAAAACATTTATTTTACCCTCAGGCAACTTGTATTAAAAGACATTTGCAAATGAGCAGCAAGCGCTCCACATAGTCGTATTTACTATTGTCAACCCTACTCGGATTCACAAGGCATCAGCTTCTAGTAAATGAGCGTGTTAATAATTTTTATCATTGATAAGTTTTGCCAGTTCATTTAATTGCCGTCTTAGCTGAAGCTGTTTCTTCTCTCTTTGCATCGGTTGTTCTCTAAAGCTGCTGTTAGTAACAAGGGAATAAAATTTTTTTGATCGCACTCCAGAAATCAACCAGTCAAAAAATATTTCAGTCAGTAAGAACATCGCACCATTGTTTGTTTATTTTATCCGCTAACGAAGACGATTACACTAGAGACTATAGTCGACGGAAAGATTGCTGCTGGAGCAATGAACAGAAGTACGAGTATTGCAACCATTTTACATAAGATCACTCATATTTCATTTACAATCGAGTCCTTGCAGACGTATCTAGTCCTTTGCAAACTAAATCTCGCCGGGGGCCACACCACACCGTCACTTGGCATCAACAAATTACTGTAGAACCACGGGTGCTAAGTGACGGTGTGGTTCCCCGGCGAGGCTCAGTTCCCAAAAGAGACAGGGTTACCAAGCTGGTTTGCAAAGGTACGCGGGTCGTTAGAAAATTTTGGAAGCAAACTGTAGCTTAGCGTGGGTTTCACAAGGAGGACTGAGTTGTTAATGAATTGAAATGAAAATAAAGTATATGTGCTTGGATTCTGCGTTGGATTTGTGGACACGGGGTCATTTTGAGCTTGGATTTTTTTCGCTTCTCGGATCAGGTGTTCGGAAATGGATTATACAGCCTTCTCCTCCTCTTAAGGGTAGTAAAACTAGAAATGGATACTCGCCAAAATGGGTTCTTTTCAACATAGTAAGCGGTCAGATAACAAGCGATGCACGGTGGAAGTAAGGTGAGGTAGTTTTATTGAGAATTTGATTGTATCTTTACTTCCTAAGAGCGGTCGTGAATATTCTCATACAAACTCTTATATTTTCGCCATGACTCTTATCTTTTTTGCAATATGATCATCTCACAGCTGGAGCTTGGGCTGCGTGTGATCCAGCCATCTAACCTTGGTCACTAAAAGATTGTCACATGGCAAAATAAGGAAAAAATTGCTTTCTTGCCTCTATATCACTTTGCCTTTTAAGACGCGTGAGGGTCTCAATGAGGTGACCGCTTATAACGGCTACGCGTTATAGCGGCTAACCTTTATTTTCATTCCGTTACAGATGACAGAAATGTAAATAATTATTTTCAATGGTTTTCAATAGTTAAAAATATATTTTCATTGTTCTAAAACACATTTACTAACGTTCTTTAATGTCCTAGGTCAATTCCGGAAAAAAAAAACCATAAACAAAGTACTTACGGTACTATAAGAATTGAAATAGGTTTTTTAGCATACTATGTTTAGACTACGAGAAATCTCTCACTCCCAGAGTTCCCCGCAGCGCGCTAATATCAATTTTTTTCACCAAAAAGGAGGGACTACACCTAGTCTATTATGTTTATAGAGAAATAATATATCATAGGATGTACAATCAACAGAGACAGCGACGCCATGCAAATAACCTATATCAAAAGTATAGTTAATTGCATAATATGTTTGTGTAAATTGGGGTTGACAAGCTCGGTTACAATAATCCATTGTGCGTCCAGTTTAATTTGTAACATTTGCAGATGTTAGAAGGCCTACACGGCTCCATAGCATGACCGGTATATGTTTTTGAGCGAATGCCCTTTCTGTACGATGTTGAGGGCGGTTCTTTGAAGATTTCCCTTAGCAATGGTTGTTACTACGCTGTACCATATTAAAAACGCTAAGCGAGCTGGACAGATTGGCGTTGAACAGTTTCCATCTAGCTTTTGAGAAATCAAATATATCCGGGGAATCACTATACATAATCCACTGGATATGCTAATCTACCGCAGAGAATTTATGCGCTCTTCGAAAAACCAAGACCTGCACTAGTAGATCTAGTGCAGTGCCTAGCAGTGTGTATTTGGGTCGAAAAAGGAAATCTAAAACTATTTACCGTCCAGCTCGCTTTCACCATCAGAGTGAGACAAGAAGAGTAATTCTAAATCGAGTAGCTGTTGCGTTGAAATCGCGTAGATTTCCGAGTTTTTCACTGACTATCGCAAGGCAGTATAGTTTCAGGTCAAATGATTATATGGAGCGGCGTTTTTCTCCGATTTTCACTCGCGCCTCATACCTCTCGATTGGCCTCCTCCCCAGCTCGATACAAACTAACTATTTATTCGAAACCGCCATCACACAGGTACACTGAATGAAGAATCATAATATCCTAAAAATGGTCTACTGTCTGTCAACTCATCTTGCGCGCAAAAATAAGACACTTCGGTTCGCAGAATATGAATCAGCGGGACTTGTGCAAAGTTTCTTTGCTTTCGGTGCCAGGATAAAACTGTCGTAAAAGCATAAGCCACGATACAAGACACACACGACAGTCTTTTTTCAAAATGACATATCTTACATGAGAAAAACTTTTATGGTTAACCTTATTTACGCCTCAAGGTTAAAATTCAGCGTCAGTTTTTACTCCGAACGGCTTATTTATTTCGGCTGTTTTACGGATAACGGCTAACCCCATAATGACTCTCTTGAATTTTCAAGTTTTTGTAACACAATCAACTCACGAAACTTGCTTGTGCTTTTTTTTTACTTTGTTCTAGCTGCCTTCTGTTTTCCTTTAAAAATTACCAGCATTGTAAGTCCACTCCACGCAAGGTTTTTTGTTTGTTTGTTTATTTTTTTCTTTCTCGCGTGATCGAAGGGAGCAACAATCCTGAGTGGGAAAGATGGGCCTATCATGTCCACTCGGATAGCCAATCAGAACACAGGATTAGCATTCGCCTCATCTTGCCCTCGGGTGCTGGCAGCCATATGATAAGGTCTGTTATTATATAGTTGGATGTATTTTTATTACATAGAGCGACAGCTTATGTTTATACAAAATTCGATGGTTTGTTATTAGATTGTGCGAGAGCTTTTTTATGACAAG